GGTGTTCTTTGAACCCTCAGAAGAACCTGGATGTTGGTGGCGCTGCGCCGTACGCGTCAAACAGTTCGAAAGCTCCTGCAGTCAGCGGGAATCGAACTCGGGTTCCCCCGGTGATGGTCCACGGTTGTAACCACTCCACTATCGAGGCAGATTTGACTACGGCCGGAGAAGTTAGTGGCCGAAACGTTGTGAAACTAACATCTCAACTCAAGACGGGGACGACATCAGTGATACTAACAGGCCTCGTCTCAAGCATTCAGAAAAAAACTAAAGCTTTTGGGGGTTGATGGAATGATGTGGGGAAAGAAAAGGAGAAGAGTTGGTCTAATTGACTTTGTCTTACCTGCAGACCCATATTTCATCCTAATTTGCATGCCTACCAGCCTGGTATCAGCTTTTATCATGCATAATGCATATCAACTCACCACCTGATGGCATATCAACTCACCACCTGTCACTTTTCTTAAAATTATAAAAAAGCGTTGTTATAGGTGAAACCCAAAACTACCTGGGATCAACAGTAAATTGGTGGTAGTTTCTTTCCCAGTGCATGTTGTTTCATGAATATCCACCGTCTTTGCTGTAGGGTGGGGACTTTTCCTTAGTTTCAAAATCAGAAGAAAAAAAGGACTTTGAAAAAAGTAATGTGTAAAGAAGGCACTGCACCACATGCATGCCTTTCTCAGCTATATGCATCACTTATTGGTTGCTTCACTTCACAGAAAAATAAAACTGAAAATTGGTTTACAAATGGATGAACAGCACACATTTTAACATTTTTCGAGCAATTTATATCAACTCACCACCCCATATCAACTCACCCCGGTTTACGGTAATTCTCATTTTAGTGATTTTGTATTAGCAAATAGGACGACACACTTAATAAGGACAAAGAAGCTTCAAATAACCCGCAAGTGCCAATTAATTTTCAACCTAAATCAAAACAGATTGCCACGAAGTAAGTGCAAAACATCCGGTCGGAAATCCGCCCGCCGTCTTAGCGCTCTGCCCCCTGCTGAGGCGGTTTACTGCCGCCGCGACTGGGAGCGATCCAGACCACAGTCGGTGACACCATCAGCGGTCAGAATGGGCCGATCCGCCCGCCCGCCCGTGCAGCCCCAGCCACTCTGCAAAACCGGTCCGGCAGATTATCTGGGCGCTGAGACGGTTAAACTGCTCCATACATACTCTGTTTGCTTCGATCCGAGTGTACCCGCTCGGCTCTTTAGCCGCGGTGTTGTGATAGTTAATGCGCAGAGCACCGTGGCTGTTAATGAGGAAGCGCGGATCAGGCCACGCCGTAAAGGAGCTTTTGGGATTAATGAGCGGCCGAAATGGAGGTAAGTACAACAGCAAGCCGTCGCATCGACGTAACTTTGCTGAACGCGGTCTCTTTCATTTGGCCGCGCAGTAATGACAAGCACTTAGGCCTAGTGATCTGCGAATCTGCGATTTTAACCCTCGCCGGCACAGGGGGGGGGGGGAGGTTGATGCAACCCCCCCTAAGGTTTTTCGCGAATAACTCGCGTAAAAAGCAGCCGATCGCGACGAAACTTTCAGTACCCTCGCATTTATCAATTTTACACCTACCCTGTAAATTTCATGACCCTGACCCCAATGACCTTTGACCTGTGACCTCTTTTCTGTGACCATGTTTGGCCGAAATCGCGGTTCGGCGCATGTCGGCTTGCATCAGCCGCGCGTTTGCAAGCTTTTCGTGGTTTCAAACGTTCAAACATGTGATTTGATGTTGCTCCCATGCATTAGGGTGGGTGTCAAGGTCACCTGAGGGTCAGGTCAGGTCATTGACCTTTGGTGACCTTGGGTGACCTCGGTTCACTTTTCGAGTTTTACATGTTTCTAGGGTAGTTTTTGGAGCTGAATTCGAATTTAGCAACCATTTGAACATTTACGAAGTAGTTTTGGTGCCTTCGTAACATGTTACGAAGCTGTCCGAGGCGGTTGACACGTATTACGAATACCCGTCACAACCCCTACCGGTTGACCTGACCTGACCTGACCGGACCTGGTCTAAATGCTTAAAGACATCATCTCTGATCAAAACTAACACGATATTCGTGGTCAGCACCCCGGAAAACCACATAGCAGCCACACTTTACGACTTTCTAACAGGTCCCGATTTTCCCGGTTTTCGGGTCATTGACCTGACCTGGAAGGTCACCCGATGACCTACACTGTAAAAAATATTGACGAGCTATGTGTCAAAACAAGGGTCTCGAAACAGTCACCAGGTTGTCAATGCTTCCGGTACCTACCACTTGACTAGTTACCGCTTAGTTAGCTTACAGGCTGAGAACTATCCAGATCGTTATGATCCGGTATTGTAATGATACCCTAGGTGTACCTTTGTTTTGAAGTGCTGAATTAACTATCAAGGTTGTTTGACGTTTGTTTTCGCCTCAATCCGAAACGAGGAAGACTCTCATCAAATTATTAGGTGAAAGCCAGCCTCAGGATGATCAAAATACTAGGGGTAGTTTTGTCATAGTAATCTGTGAAGGTTGAGGAACAAGCCGTAGCAATGCACTCGTCACTAAACCAGCCTGAGATTATTCGCCAGGTAGCGGCTGCGTTTCCCTACTTGCTGAATCATGTTAGCAACTTTCCATTTCCAGACACTTTTTACGGCAAATAAATTGTTGGGTTATTTGGAAGGTGAATGACAATTTTAGTTCTATAAGTCAATACATTTGTACACCTTTTTGCACTCAAAATAGACATCTTTTCATTCAATTTCGGCGAATTGCATTCAATTTTAGCGATCTCTCTATTCGAAGCAAATGAGAGATCGCTAAAATTGAATGCAATTCGCCGAAATTGAATGAAAAGATGCCTATTTTGAGTGCAAAAAGGTGTATTTCCGATTGCCCTAAAACTTTTTTTTTTAATCGTTTGCGGTAGGTTTTTATTGTTCGCAATAAAGTTGCGCACCTGTGAATCCTTCACTTAATGCGTTCCCGGCTTCCCGGCGCCAGCTGTTGCGCTGCGCCGTGCCGCGTTCGGTCGGGGGTGCGCGAGTCTGTGCAGTGCGAGTGTTTATCACTGGGCAAACCTGTATCGTTTCCATTTGTGCAGTGTCTAGTTATGAAGAATTGCTTGCCGATATATGACCTGCAGTGATCGACGTTCTGATTCAATAACTTGCCATAAGCCATTATTCTCAACGAAATCGCGCAGAGACGTTTGCAAAGTTGTCGAGGGGGGGGGGGGGGGCGAAACAAGAGCGATTTTAAATGAATTGCTCTCCATGCAGTGCAATAGGACTTAGGTTTAATTTTTCGAAAGTTGTGGAGCCGCCCCCGGTGTCCGGCCTGGCCAACTCTCTCAAGAACCGACAGCTAACGGAACACTGAAGTTTCACTACGACGATTTCCGCCAAAGTTATGAAGAAAGGGCAAGTGCAAGAAGTACAAAACTTCTCTTGGTAATCAAAACTTAGGTTTGGCAAATTCCAAACCCTAAGTCACTACAACTGTGGATAAATAAGCTGGTTATTGACGGCCAAGCTCTGGCCAATCTGAGGTTCAGACCTATCATCAAGTTCATGAGGCAGCTGCGGTTGGGCGGCTCACGGGCTCCACTGCATAGGCTCAGACAGGTACTCTACAAAATGTCGTCTGTGTTCTTAGGTTCAGATCTATCGATAGGTATGTGCAGGCTTCTGATTCGATTGATAACTGTAAACGGGCGCTGGAAGTGAAAGATTCGCTTGATATACGAAAGGTGCATTGCAAGAAAGCATATTATTTCAGAAATACACTTTCATTTTATCTTGAGCGTTTTTGGAATGGGCCGGATGAATTCGTCATCAAACTGGTAAGGGATTTCGTTTGAAGACCACCGATATTTAATAATATGATGGTCTTCAAACGAATTCGCTGGCAAATTCGATGACTGGATTGGGCGGCGTAGGATCTGCTGGTCATCTGACTATGGGTTGAGCAATACGTTAGTTTTGACCTAGTTTGAGCTTCATTCGTTAAGTAGGAACAAGACGATGCTTCTTTTGAGCATCGTCACTAAACAAGCCGCCCTCGTTTTGACATTGTTTTTCGTTATTATTGTTACTAGGTACTTTGTTATCATACACAGCATTAACGAGGACCTGCTTCCAAAACAAGGCAGAAACGCTCCAGCTATTTTTGGGACGTGGTAAAAACTAACCGACACCTGGTAACTGTCATCTGACGAACACAAAACAAGCCAGGGGCTCGCAGCGTGTGTCAAAAGTAGGATGCAAAACTAGTCTGTACCCCCGACATTTAGCGTTGAGAATCATTTGACGAGGGGCTAGTCAATATTTTTTACAGTGTAGGACTTGAAAATTGGGTATCATCGGCTTCGTCTCGTGACGGGCAACACGCTCGTTTTTTCCGCGAAGCTCTAGCTCGATCAGGGGCCAAACGCGAGGGGGGGTCGTACCAACCCCCCCCCCCCCCTTGTGCCGTCGAAGGACTCAAAATGGCCTGTGCCGGCGAGGGTTAAAGAAAAGAAATAGAAATAAAATGCAAGTGCATAGGCATCATTGAAATAGAATAAGATGGAAAGCAAATATGAAAAATAATATGCCAAATGAGCTAAACAAATAGACTGTCCAGTGCTCAGTCCGTCAAATACCTATTTGCTTCCCGATCGTCCCTAATGCCATCTGAAATGTTCCCAATTCCAAGGCGTAAGATGTACGAAAGCGTTTGCTGATTCTCTCGCTAGTGTCACTTGAAAATGGTAGGTATACCAGACACTAATGAGTGACATACATGCCGTGACACCTGACCTGCCCTGCCCTGACACCCTTGACCATCCCCTGTGTCACGCACCGGTGCCCCTGTACCGTCCCAGCTGTGTCACTCACCAGTGCCCCTGTACCGTCCCCTGTGTCACCAGTGCCCCTGTACGTCCCCTGTGTCACTCACCAGCGCCCCTGTACCGTCCCCTGTGTCACTCACCGGTGTCCCTGTACCGTCCCCTGTGCCACTCACCAGTATCCCCGGAGAAGGCGCCCAGGTTAATACGGAACTTGTCCTCCTCATCTGCCACGCTGAAGTTGTCGTACTGCACGTAGGTGCGCTCGCCGCTCCAGTCCAACATGTCGATGCGCAGCACGTGCGGCCGGCCGTCCGAGGTCAGCTCGTGAAGGTGCTGGTTACCCAGCCAGTACTCCCCCTCCGGGTCACCGAAACCCGTCTTGTAGGCCTCCCAGTCACGGAAAAAGTCTGAAGAAGGGGAGATGTAGGTCTGGAGTTAATCGCACATCAATATTTTATTCCTTTCATAATAAAGTATGGTAACCTCTTTATGTTACTTCCGTTCAGTTCCTAAAGAAGGAGTACCACTTTTGTGAATACGTTTTTTTTACATTCCACACTCAGCAATCCTGTTACCAGCGCTGCACACCTTGCAGTTGACATTTCTCCCATTCATGTGAAAAGGCACGTTCAAGTCTTGATTATCAAGTTAGATATTGAACCAATTTTCCCAAAACCACCATCAGTACGCCGAGCTGCTCTTGGCCAGGATGCAATAGCCCGGCAGAATGCAAATAGCTTGGCCTGGGCCCTCGAGCGACCTCTCATAGAGCCGGTCGTGACTTACCTTCCCGTTTGAGGTGCGGTCCTCGCTGCTGGAACACGGTCCAGCCGCCGCCCTCCGAGTTCATGTCGCAGAAGACGCGCACCTTGACCTGGCCCGGTCGGATGGTGTACAGGCCGCTGGTGCGCATTCCGCTGTCGTACAGCTCGGCACAGCTCTTCAGCGAGTCAGGACTCCCTGGAGACGAGACGGGAAGACGACGTCGACGTGTGCGTGACTGATAACGGGGAAATTTTACCGCCGACACACGTCCAGTCGTGGAAGTTACCATCGACAGAAGGACTTCTGGGTAGGACTTAATGCAACGACTGATGAGGGGTGCGGAATAAATACCTTTTCGGAAACTCCCGTAATTATGCGGCGAGAAAGTTTAGAGTAAAACAGTATCATAAGCGATAAGATTTGAAAAAGGCGCACTTATCCACTTTGAAGCGCATTTCCTTAACCACAAGCTAGGCTGGATAAAACCCGGATCCTGCATTATGCTGCAGATATTGGCTGCATTTAAATACCGAGGCCGGCATATCTTGTAAGGTCAATAAGTTAATATAGAACGCTCGAGCACTTCGGTTTACCTGCATATCCCCACGTCACGGAAGGATCAGACAATCCCTCGGTATGACTATACACTTTTCTGCCGGCGCGTGAGCATCATTATCCAGTTCCCAAAACAATCATTGGCTGCAGCGCCCCGCATCCACTCTTCCTTGAACACGGACCGGGTAGGGTGGAGGGCCAATGTAGACGAACATGGACGGGATACTCACTGCTCAGCGGTTCGACCTGGTGTGCCGCCTCCCTGTCAATCTGATGCCGTCCTACCGGCGGGGCGCCGCCCTCCGCGCCCGCCAGCAGCAGGTTCTCCACCTTGTTCATCTGCCACGTCAGCGACGACTCCATCCGCTTGAAGGACGAGAGCAGGCTGTCGCCGTCACACGTGGCCGGCGTCGTCTGCGGCACGGCCTGCGTGGGGACGACGCGGGTGTCCCGCGCCGCAGCCGCCGCAGCCGCCGCCGCCGCCTCCAGCTGCATTGCCTGCAGCTGGCGCTTCACGCCCGTCTCCATCACGGTCACCGAGTGCTCCAGCTCCTTCTTGATGTTGTCCTCGACCTTGGGTAGCCGGTCGTTGAGTCTCTGGACGCCCTGCTGGGTCTCAGAGCTGGCGTCGCGCGCCTCGCCGACCCTCTCGGTGACCGAGCTGAGGATGGCCGTGATGCGCTCGACGCCCTGCTGCAGGCTGCGCTCGTGAGACTCGCTGCAGAGCGCCTGGTAGCGGCTGCTGCGCGCCATCGGCGCGTTCTGGCCGCCCTCCAGCTGGTGCTCGATGGTCATCAGGCGCGTCTCGAAGCGGCGCAGCGTGTCCTGAATGGTGTTGGTCATGGTGCGTACGGAGGCCTCCACGGAGGTGGTGATCTTCTCGTCTGGGGAGGGGAAACAATGGGGAGGTCAGGGGGAGACACGGGGAGATCAGGGGAGACACGGGGAGACTCGGGAGATCAGGGGAGACACGGAGAAACACGGGGAGACACGGGAGATCAGGGGAGATCAGGGAAGATACGAGGAGATCAGGGGGAGATGCAATGATATCAGGATGAGACACGGGGGGATCGACGCTGGCTGATCGGGGAGAGAAACTAACACATCGGTGAGGGGGGAGGGAACTGGAAGGTCAAGGAGCAAGGGCGGACACTGTAATTCATTTGCCTCAATGATGATTGTGGGGAGCATGCACTACCAAAATGAAAACAAACAACTCATAGGAAAATGTAAAACAAATAAAAAGGGCTAAGGTCAGCATCATGTTGTGGTATTTTTGCGCCATCAGCTATGAACCTTCCACTGCGTTGGAGTGACGACTATACCTCTCTTCAACGCCTTCAACCCTATCGGTCGGGTCGGGCTTATCACTCACCTACGGTCATCGTTCCGGAGGGAGAGCGGCCCATCTGCATGGAGACGAGCGCGTTCTCCACAATGCCGACCAGGTCATCGCGGATCACCTGACGAAACTCGTTCAGACTGACCCGGTTCAAACCTGGCGGTATACAAACAGATGAGAGAGGTCAGACACTGTCAGAAAACGGGCAGTCATATGGTCTAGCTACTAGCGAGTCACAGACATAGGCCGTCGTCGTCGACGATGTTCAGCACTTTTTTTTACAAACCCAGTAGGTAGGTACTATTCATGATAGATAAGATGGGAGCCACGAGTGCTTCCGCATTGCTCGTCGGGTCTTTAAGCATCTAACACCGCATAAGCTAAATATATTTATCCTATCTCTTATAAGAGAGAAAAAAGACGAAGGTTGCTGTTTGAAATTCATCGTGCAGGTATTTATGTCGTGTTATTCGAACAACGTCCATCGATTGCTGTATTTCTTACTCCTATTTGTAGATATCAATTGCAGATGCCTACATATTCTATGAATGCCTATTCGCAATAAGCTGTACCTTCGGCTCGTGAATTCTTGAGTAGGGCTCTAATTCGTCCGTGACGTAATCACTTGGACGAATGTCAGGGAGGGCCGTCTTACTAAGCTCACATGCACTTTTTGCGTGACCCCGCTGCCTGCCCTCGTTGTTTTATTCGCTGAAGTGTGGGATGCGGATAACCACCGTAACTAGCCGTAGTCCATAGGCGTCGCCAGAGATTTTCGGTTGGGGGGGGGGGGGCAAAATCAAATTTTGTGTTAAATTAAATCTAGCCTTTCTCGGAGAGTTGTTACTCATTCATTTTACATATCATTCGACGCGTAATGGTGCGAGGAATACGATGGTGACAAGGTTTTCCTTCTAGCTATGACATGTCTTTTTTTTACAGAAAATTCAAAATTTTGATTTTTTTTACAAAAACGCGACCGGTAGAATCACAGTGGCTGCGATTGCCGACGCACTCTAGAGAGCCCCCGTTCAGACGCTCGTCGCTCATGATCATCACCCAAAAAAAAGGTTAAAAACGCTCAGTAATCGAATCATCTTGGTGAAACCTTCATTCACGCATGCATGCAATCGCAGAGGTTCTACGTGAAATGCATAGGGCTCATCCCAGCCGCCGATAGCTAAGTTGGGCTTTCGGCGGAGATTGAATGTCGGAAGTGTGGATCTGAAGTACCTAATTCATCTTTGCTTCAGTGAGAGGAGGTATTTTGTTCACACGGGAGTGTGAACAAAAAGTTTCTCGTTTTTCGTGTGTAAGGAAGCGCTGCAAATGCGAAGAAAAGATAACGGAACCAAAATTTCGCACGGCATAGCGGCAAGGGATCCCTTAGCGACAGGCTTGGGACTTCCAGGCCATTTTAGGCCACTCAGGGTCAGTGTGGGCTCTCAGAAGCCTGCTTATGATCCTGAAGATCGGCGTTGGTCACCCCAAATAGTTACGTGTATGTGGTGCTTTAGGGCTTTCCGAGCCCAAGGTGGGGCCCTCAGAAGCCAGTGTGGGCAGCGGGCGCTAAGAGACCAGGCCCAGGGTGAGCCGGGAGCCCTCAGATAGCAGTGTGAACCCTGGAGGTCTGTGTCGAATCCCTAAGGACCCTACATAGGGACATGAGAAACATGTGCTGGGACCCTCAGAGGCACACGTGAGTTGTGCAAAATCTGTCGCCTCAAAAGCTCGGCTGAGTTATCAGAAGCCTAAGGTTCTCAGAAATTTTCGAAAGTATTCTCAAAGATCCGTGTGGCCCTTCAGAGGTCTACGCATGTGTAAGGTCCTCAAAGATCCCTGTATGGGCCCTCAGAGAATATGGACACCAGTGGGACTCTCAGAGGCCGGTTTGGGCCCTCTGAAGGTTCTTAGAGCTCAGTGGAGCTCCTTCGGAGCCTGTGTGAAAAGCAAGCTCATGAGGCGAGCCCTTTGGCAGTTGAACGGCACTTGAGTCTGTCGCAGACATTTGACGAGAGTTAAGAAGGCCCGAAGATTTAGTGTCACACTTTGAACGGAAATTTTGTGTCAGCACTTCAAAACTTATGAAAATCGGTTATAAAATGTAATAAAGAACGAACTAGGAACATGGAATGAATCACAGTAGGAGTATTGACATTCCCGAGTCTGGAATCGGCGTCGTGAAGATTTTGGCGACTGCGACTCCGACTCTGGCCTGAACTGCACCCTTCAACCGAGTCTGACCTTACAGGCATTCTCAGAAAGGTACCCCCATTTTCCCGACTCCAAAATCTCATCGGATCTGTATCGATCTCAGGGGGTGCCCGGTCTGAGGTTGGGGGGGGGCAAGCTGCCCCGCTTGCCCCCCCGTGGCGACGCTAATGCCGTAGTCTGTCGGCAAGCTTTCTCCAGACAAATACCGACTGCGCTGCCATCTAGCGATTAAGAGGATGAAACACTCCGTGGAAAGCAGAAGCCGTAGCGAAGCCTCGGGTAGGTGGCACTGAGAGCGGAGGACGTGCAGTGAACGGTCCAACTTACGTGACATGGAAAAAAATGCTACAAACATTACGGAAACAGGGCATATTATTGATTGTTGGTGTGCGAAAAGAGAAAATTACGCACTTCAAAAATAATCTTGTAAATGGTTACTGTCGACTCGCAGCTTAAATTTCACGAGCACATTAGGACTGTTGCACACAAAGCTAGCGGTCTGGCCCATAGTTTTCTTAAGTCTACCGTTTGCAGGTCTCGCGCATTTATGTTGTTCTTGCTCACTACTCATATCCGACCTGTTATAGAATACTGTTCATGCTTGTGGCATACAGGTTATCTGAAAGACTTGCGGGTCTTAGAAAATGTTCAGAGGAAGTGGACAAAGCGAGTGGATGGAATGAATGGATTAAGCTATGCAGATCGCCTACAGTCCTTGAACCTGTATTCTGTCCAAGGGAGGCTCATTCGTGCGGACTTGATACAATGTTGGAAGCTGTTTAACGGTAGATCGTGCCTGAGCCCAGATGACCTGTTCGACCGCCCTCCACAGGAGCGGACTAGGGGCCACTGCTTTAGGATTTTCCCCACTCTCACCCACACAGACACTAGAAAGCGCTTTTTCTCTGTCAGATGCATTGCTGTTTGGAACTCACTGCCTGAGGATGCTGTCCGTGCACCTAACATAGCTAGCTTTAAGAAAATGATTGAGGTACATGCGCGTAATAGCCTGTTCAGATATGATTGAGGATGAGCAGTGCTGATTTTGTAAGTAGTTATAGGTATGTAGGTTACTTCCTTGTAGCTAAGCGTGCAGAAATGTGACTGTGTTCATCTGACGAGCTTGTGGAAGACGCACAATACCAGTCAAAACTCCCAGGACTAATGGTCAAGAATATCACAACTGGGCTGGCGCGTCTGGCATTCAGGGTTCCTTCCAATTCCTTTCGGTCCTTCCACCTTGCCTTCTCTTTCCGACACAAATGGGAACCCAACCAGGTAAGAGGGTAAGAGTGTATAGAAGTGATTTGGCAGCTTTGGCTTAAGTTCAGAACGGCTACCAAATGCATGAGCATATTTTACACCTTTCAGTCCAACGTTTATTGATGGTTGCAGGAATCGTTTCGTTGACTTGGACACACACACATACGCCAGCAACGGTATCATGGCAGCCGACAGATGCATTTTTCCAAATGCCATCAAAAGGAAGGACGGTACCCAGGTCTCATGTAAACTAGTGACCTGTGAGGTCAGTTCAGATGCTCCAAATATAGGTAAGGGTTCGGTTTTTAATAAATAACTTTGCAAAGCGTGCTCATTGAGCCGTGATATTAAAATCATGTTGACCGTGGTCAGGCACGTCGAATGATATACTGCTTGCCTAGGGTGATCTTATCTTAGAGCGTTGACCTTACTCCTAGGGTCAAGGTCAGGTGAAAGCCACTTAGGTCACGAATCACGATACTGGTCGGAGGAGGTCATGCTGTATACTAAGGTATCATTCGATTTGGCAGGTCGTTCCGAGTCCAATACTGGCTTCTCGAATTTTTATTCCAGATGTACAGTAAATACAAAAATAGTCCAATAAATTCTCATAAGACCGTTTGGGGCCACTGGCCAGTGCATAAATCCGTGAACTTGTGTCTCCAAATTGCGTTCAGTCATTCTACTTGGTTCTTCGAACGCATGCTCTTACACACAAAACATGATCCTCTTCTCGCTAAAGAGCATGTGTAGGTACTAACTTGTCACTCCGTCTCCAGCCAAACACTCTTGACGTAGGCATAACAAACACCATGGCGTAGGTACTCACGTTTGTTTGTCTTGGTCGCGAGGTTTTGGTAGGCCAGCAGATCGGCTGGCAGCAAGCAGACGACTGCTATCGCCAACCACGTGTGACGACTCATCATTCGCCTGAAACGACGCAAAATTTCGTTAGCCTGATATTAGTCACAACCTTCATGGGATTCCCGTACAAGAGAACAGAGGACCGTCGCAGAATACAAACGTTCAATTTTATCGGTTCAAGCTTAGGCGAATTACGTATCTTGTATAAGCATTTGGCTCAGCATTATATTATGCACGTAACAATAAGTAATTAAAAACAGAGTTTAGCGAGCCTTGTTGTAATACATAGCCAGCATTTTAGCGTTGTAACACAGCTTGATTAGTTGCTTGTCGAAATAGGTAAAGACTGAATCAGTTAACCCTCGCCGGCACAGACCATTTTGCGTCCTTCGACGGCACCAGGGTACCTACGACCCCCTCCCCTCGCGTTTGGCCCCTGATCGAGCTACACACAGAAAAATATTAACACCGTTAGCGGTGTAATTGCACAGTACATATCTAAGCACTTGAGGAAAGTTAATTTAGTCCCTTCCCCGCTTAAATTACTCGCGCTTCCAAATGAACACCAGGACGAAGGTAATAGAACACTGTTAGGAGGGTTGCGTGTTTTGCTACATGTAGTAAAACACCCAACCCTCCTAACAGTGTTCTATTACCTTCTTCCTGGTGTTCATTTGGAAGCGCGAGTAATTTAAGCGGGGAAGGGACTAAATTAACTTTCCTCAAGTGCTCAGATATGTACTGTGCAATTACACCGCTAACGGTGTCAATATTTTTCTGTGTGTAGAGCTTGGAGGAAAAAACGAGTGTGTTACCCGTCATGAGAGGAAGCCGATTATACCCAATCTTAAGGTTCTAGGTCATCGGTTGACCTTCCAGGTCAGGTCAATGACCCAAAAGTCGGGAAAATCGGGACCTGTCTGTTAGAAAGTCGTAAAGAATGGCTGCCATGTTTTTTCGGGGTGCTGATCACGAATATCGTGTTAGTTTTGATCACAGATAATGTCTTTAAGCATTTAGACCAGGTCAGGTCAGGTCAGGTCAGGTCAAACAGAAGATGTCGTGACGGGTATTCGTAGTACATACGTGTCAACCGCCTCTGACAGCTTTGTAACATGTTACGAAGGCACCAAAACTACTGTTTAAATGTTCAAATGGTTGCTAAATTCGAATTCAGCTCCAAAAACAAGCCTAGAAACATGTAAAACTCGAAAAAGTGAACCGACGTTACCCAAGGTCAATAAACTGACCTGACCTTCAGGTGACTTTGACATCCACCCTAATGCATGGCAGCAACATCAAATTACATTTTTGAACGTTTGAAACTACGAAAAGCTTACAAACGCGCGGCTTAGGCGAGCCGACATACGCCAAATCGCGATTCCGGCCAAACATGGTCTCGGAAAGTAGGTCACAGATCAAGGGTCCTTTGGATCAGGGTCATGAAATTTTCAGGATAGGTATGTGTAAAATTGATCAATGCGAGGGTACTGAAAGTTTCGTTGCGATCGGTCGCTTTTTACGCGAATTATTCGCGAAAAACCTTAGAGGGCTGCATCAACCCCCTCCACCTGTGACGGCGAGGTAAGATTCTGGCCGTGTGTGATTATCCCAACTATAAAACCTCTGTACATATACAATGTTCTATGCAACAACTTATCCTTGTGTTGTGCATAGTGACAGTGCCCCCCCCCCCAAAAAAAAACACCTAAGGGCTGAATGAATTGAAATTAATGATGAGGTTGACGAACATTCAAAAGTATAATTCAATTCTCGCGCTTATTACAAACCATAAAATAACTATTCATTTCATAGCGCAAAAACTCTAAAGCCATTCAGCAAACCTGGGGCCAATCTTACCAAATGCCGTGAATGCGCATTCACGGCATTTGGTAACATTCAGAACTATTCCGCATTCATTTATTCATTCGTTCAGGCAACATTAATAATCATTCACGTAGTCAAAATCATTGGACAAGATTAGCTAGATGTAAATAAAAAGGATATCTTTGATATCAGTGCCGTAAACTCCGGCCAGTGCTGCCAAATCCTATTCACGGCATTGGTAAGATTGGGCCCTGGATCTGTGATGAAATTATGCAGCTCTTGGTATTAGGTACAAAGTTCAAGCGTTGGTGATTTTATCTGTTACGATTTTCTAGCCTAACTCGACAGTCGCCAGCAGCAGACCGGCTCACCTGGTACGACGGGCGTCCACGAGATCAATCAGCTCCTCTTGGCTCTGTGGCTGGGCTGCAGGCTGATACAGAGTAGTGAACACCCCACTGATCGGTCTTCTCCGGCAGTCCTCCAGTCGCAGCTCCGCGCCGGTCCGGCCCTCACCCACCGACCGCGCACAGCACTCTGACCGTCCGTCGACCGGGGCTGTCCCGTGTCACCAGAGATCCACCGGCTGTCCCGTGTCGCCGGGACTCGCTCCCACGGTCCCCTGGCTCCCTCTCGGCTCCCGCGGCTCCCCCGCACGGCTCCTGTCCCACACTGCCCACACATCTGGCCGGCCCGCCGCTCCGCCGCCGCCGCCGCCTGGCCCCGGCGCTGTTTATTTTCACAGTGAGGCGCGAACGATGACGGCTGTCCTGTGCTCTGTGCGGCGTACAGAGCCGCCGAGGCTGTCCTGTGCTCTGTGCACCGCACTGCAGGGTCGCAGTGCCGCCCGGCCTGGCCCCCGGACCGCGTGTAAGGAACGTGTCACCCGGTACCCGACATACGCGTAAACTGTGTCACAGATGACATCCGCGAATGAAGTCTATATGGCAAATGGGCTTCGACAGATATGACTCTAAAGCTAAGCAGTGCAAAGGCAGTTCTCAACCGTTCTCCAATAGCAGGTCTTTTAGAAAGGTTTCTGTAAGTGCTAAAATGCGCATTTGATATTAAGCATGGCCTGGCGATCAAAGCGTGACGGAAGATCATTTACATAAACAATCTTCGTCACAACACTCGTGGAAGCCGATCGGTTCGACATTACATAACATATCCAGGAATATATCGATGCTTCCGAGGTAAACTCATGATGACAATTTCAGGATAAGCAATGCGACTGAAATGTTTCGTGACTCACTGAAACGCTCACGCGGACTTCACGGTACAAATTCACAGAAGTCTGACGTTTTCCAACGCTGATTTTGGTAGACTTGTGTGCGCGACAGCGTGTCATCTAAACACGACATCCATTAGACGTCGATTATTACGAGCGAGCGAGCGTAGCGAGCGAAGCGAGTCTTTTCAATATAACGGAAAAATCTCAGTATGAGCGGCCCGGCCCGGCCGGGCCGGGCCGGGCCGGCCGGGCCGGGCTTAATGATTTGGGAAAATCATTATAAAATCCAAAATTTGAGTCTATCGAAAAAACCGGAATATATGTCAGAGAAGTGGTCTATGTGCACCTACATACCAAATTTTAGAAGAATCGGTTCAAAAATGTGGGAGTTATTCAAAATTTTATGACGTCACGACACACAAAATTTTTGAAAAAATGACTTTTTTGGAAGTTCTAGACCTTGTACGGAAACAAAAATAGCACCATTCGATTCGCCGTGAAAAACTGCATCAGATAGACACCTTTTTAGGCCTTAATAACCAACTTCAAAATTTGACCTCACTTGACCTGACCTTGACCTGACCTCGACCTGAAATTCATCCAGAGGTGGTCCATATCACTTATTGAGTGTGCCTATTGAATTCTATGAGTAAAATAACCCATAAAACATGTGTCGCACATGCCCTTTTCTATATTTTGTTTTTTGGTGACCTGACCTGACCTGACCTGACCTTGACCTTGACCTCTGAATGATATTGTATGCAACGAATATTGTCTTGGTAGCCTAAGAACACGTTTTGGGCGATCAGTCTCAGTCCATGACTCCATTCTTCGGTAACTACGGTGCAAGGCCGATACTGTAGAAACTTGCAATTTGTACCCTTGACCTGACCTTGACCTTGACCTCAAACTTTAAATTAAGTACATGTTTTAAGTAGTTCGTGATGAGAGCTTTCGATTGGCGTTTGAATTTTCCAAATCGGACCATTAGTTCGGGAGATAACAGGGGGGGTAAAATTTACCCCCCCCCCCAGCCCCGCGCGTTCGGCTGGAGACCCCAGCCCCGCGCGGGTTAAAATCGGGTTTTAATCTCTGCGTCTCGTAACGGCGCACACGCTCGTTTTTTCCGCGACGCGCTAGCTCCACCAGGGGCGAAACGGCGAGGGGGGGGGGGGTCGTACCCGCCCCCCCCCCCTCGGCCGGCGCGTATGTAGAAAACCAATAGGTCCGGCGAGGGTTAAACGATCCAACCTGTTTTCAATGAATAACACTGCATACCAAAAATGCCAATCGCTCTCGTCATAAGATATTTAGATTTAAATAACTAATTTATCTGCATCATCATTTTGAACCAAATTAATGCTTTCAACTTAGTATTCACTCATTTCTTCCTTCGTTGGCTCCAAACAGTACTTCGACTGTCTGGAAATCGTATGCCAAATCCCGCACCTGTATACGACTGGTGCATATAAAGGCCGATGTAAGAATTTCAATAGACTCTCGCATGCGATTTCCTGGCTACCCAAAAAGTCTGTTTCAGTCATGCTATCAAAACATGGTATGTCAGCCCTATCACCAGCTTGTAGTGCCCCTGACCGTCACCGACTCCCTTCCCTCCTTAAAAGCCTAGTTTCCCTCCATCATCTCTACTAGATTTAGGTGATGCTCCGACAAATTCACAAACAAGACCGAACTTGTTCGGAGTTCGGACTGTGAGTTAACCCTCGCCCTTTAGGGGGGGGGGGTCGAACGGACTCCCCTCGGTTTTTCGCAAATAGCTCGCGTAAAAAGCGGCCGATCACGACGTAACTTTTAGTACCCTCGCGTTGATCAATTTTACACCTACCCTGAAAATTTCATGACCCTGACGCAAATAACCTTTGACCTGTGACCTACTTTTCGCGACCATGTTTGGCCGGAACCGCGATTCAGCGTATGTCGGCTCGCATTAGCAGCGCGTTTGCAGTCTTTTCGTGGTTTCAAGCGTTCAAACATGTGATATGATGTTGCCCCCATGCATTAGGGTGGGTGTTAAGGTCACCTGAAGGTCAGGTCAGGTCATTGACCTTTGGTGACCTCGGTTCACTTTTTCGAGTTTGACATGTTTCTAGGCCAGTTTTTTCGAGCTGAATTCGAATTAAGCAGCCACATGAACGTTTACAAAGTAGTTTTGGTACCTTCGTAACATGTTACGAGGCTGTCAGAGGCGGTTGACACCTACTACAAATACCCGGCAGGACCTCTACTGGTTGACCTGACCTGACCTAACCCGACCTGGCCTAAATGAATGAAGACATCATCTGTGATCAAAACTAGCATGATATTCGTGATCAGCACCCCGAAAACCCCATAGCAGCCACACTACGACGTTCTAACAGGTCCCAATTTTCCCGCCTTTTGGGTCATTGACCTGACCTGGAAGGTCAACCGATGACCTAGGACCTTAAAATTGGGTATCATCGGCTTCCTCTCGTCACGGGCAACACGCTCGTTTTTTCCGCGAAGCTCTAGCTTGATCAGGAGCGAAACGGCAAGGGGCTGTTCGTGGCTTATACGTTCGGCTTATACCTTATACGTTCGCGGCTGGAAAAACACCAATACGGGCGAGGGTCAAGTTGAAAGTATTAATTTGGTTCAAAACAATGATGTAGATAAGTTAGTTATTTAAATCTAAATATCCTATGACGAGAGCGATGGACATTTTTGGTATGCAGTGTTATCCATTGAAAACAGGTCAAAGCTATTGAGTTTTTAATTTAGTGGTCGCCGCTTACTAATCATGCGGCATACACGCCGCACATAACCGCCAATGCCGCAACGCAGCTTAGATTTCGAAGTAAGCATTTAGTCTCACCCGCCCAAAAGGCGTTTTACTGGTAATTAGCAAGGCCATAGTAATTAGTATCGTCGTAATTTAACCTCCGAATTCTACGTCCCTCACGCCATGGCTTATTTCATTTGCCTCGGAAACTGCACTATGCAGTATAACAGCGGGCCAGGATTATTATCCGTGCCACCCGCTTCCCCTGCCTTAGTCCTGCCCAGCTGGGTACGTTACATGGGGAGGGGTGATAATCATCCAAAGGGATGGGACGCCGGACGGCGTGAATCAGGACCCATATGGACGGGTACCGGAAGCGGCGGAGCCTTTGATCCCTCTGTCCGTCTCGGGTTCCGGCGCTGATATCACGTGCGCCATTCAAGCACACATGCAGCCCGCATTGAGAGACGCACCGGACAGAGAGGGCGCGCAGGGGTATACCAATGACTGGCGTGTTCCTGGGAAGGGAACTGTGTTACTGTTTAGACAAGACCGCTCATCGCTGTTTGAAACGCACGCTTCTCATGAAAAGTGTGAACAGCAGTAGATGATGACGTTCATCACTATAAAGATATATCGAGCATCGTCCAATGCCCATAGTGCTCTGGCGTATTCACTACGCATTGGATTAGTGATGGTTTCTAATGATGAAACATACCCCATCTTGATCATGAGGTAAAAATGTATTGGTACTCGGCAGCCAACTAATTACCTCCTATGCAGCCATTCGTTTATTTTTACCACGGATCACATAACGGATCGGCAACTCCCCCCCGCGACCTGTCTCCCCTGCCACCTGGTGGGCATTTAGGTGAACTATCTTCACTAAGGACGCGGCCGGCCTCGTGCGTGTTGAGGGCGTCGTGTCGGAGCTAATTAAGTGATTTTTCTGCGGAGCATGGTTTCTCAGCTAGCTCAGAAGATGTCTATGGCATAAATGAGGATGGCAAGAATCGTTAGAGACAGGTTAAGTGTTTGAGCTTGTATCCTTTGTCATGAAAATCGTTGTTTTTACACCCACGTGGGCGACCTAGCGTCCATCGCGAAATTGGTAATTTTCCGATCGTTGTCATCTCTTCCATATATTTCATGAGTATATTTTTGATAAATATTCATCTGCCGATTAAATTAAACCTGTAACTTAAACTGTCACAAATATACTTGCACAAAGTATAAACCCACGCCGGGCCGGTACACGGTACCAACCGCGCCGAGCCGAGGGTGCATGAAACCCCCGCCCCCACCCCTAACTCGGCTTCTGGGCCACGTAGCCACACGGGGTAAACGGCATTCGAAAGAGCGTAAAAAATAATGGCGGAAATACTTTAGTCATTTTTTTAGGTCAGGTCAAAGGTCAGGTCACCAGAGGTCATTAAAGGTCAAATTTTGTCTATTTCAACAATTTTCGAAACACCCGACGCATAACTTGGGAACCAATGGAACTACAGCGCCGCAGAAAAGCGCATTCGATAGCTCTTTCACAGGCCTTTCTGAGTTTTATTCTTAGATTTGACCTCAGGTCAACGGTTTAGCCTCCAGAGGGCAAAAACTTCAAAAATAGCAGTGTTTACGAAAAACGTTTTTTTTCGGTAATAACTTTTGACTCAAACGAGCCACGACATTACTTTTGCCAGCATCGTGTTCCTCTCGTCGAGACGCGTCGAATGAACTATAGGTTGACCTTGAAAGGTCATTTTGAAAATTTTACGTCAGGTGAAGGTCATGACCTGACCGGAAATGGTCATGCTGCATATCAGTCGATCC